TCTACAGGCATGCGGCGCTGTATCATTTTTCCCTTCCCCATCTTCTTGTGGGTGTCTGCCGCATCCCTGAATTGGTGGTGTTGCAGCCGAGGAAGATACCATCGAGCATAAAGTCCCTGCAGATTCCTGAGCTGAGCTCCTCCAACAGCAAGCGAGCACCGATCTATATGCTATACGTTTTCATGAAATTGACCCAATCGAAGGAGTTAAAAACATAATCCTTCAGGGACGCAGCTCTCGCTAGGACGGAATCCACGATGCTATTGGGTCCATCGTTGGTATTCCATCTGACAGCGGAGTTAGACCTCCAATAGAACCGCTCCACATACCTTGTGGATCGTGTAGAGCAAACGAAGTAGGCAATGATTGCATACAAGTAACGGAGCCCGAGGAACCAGGAAGCGACGACGAATCTAGAACGAGGAGCATCATCAGCATTATACCTGTCATACAAGCATCTCTCGTACAAGAAGACTAGTGAGGCACCCCAGAAGGACGCATCGGCAATAGTCGCAAACCCAGGACCTAGAGATGTTCAGTGCATGTTACCACTAGGGTCATCGGTTCTACCTCCGATAAAGATACGACCAAAGACGAAGAACGCGTCACCAACGAGAGCTAGCTGTGGCACGACTTCACCGTAACCCACTACATAGGCTACGCTGAAGCCCAGTAAAACCTATAATGAGGACGCTGAGTGGTTACTGGTTGGAGTATTCAGTCGATACTATCTACCACAACGAGGGATCCAAGGAATGACACAATGAGCTGCCAGGCCTTACGGGTCGTCGATACCAGCGTGCTGACGTACCTGTCGCGGTACAATAGCAACTACCGTACGGAAACTACGGCAGCAGCAATAAGCCTCGACCACTTGTTCATGACTCACGGGAGGAAAGTTAGGAATCTGAAGACCTTCACCCATGTAAGGGCTATGTTAAAGGCATGTATCCGTCTTGTAAGCTGTACTGTTGTGGCAATCGGCTAAGTGCAGGGACAGAATCACACCGAAAGAGCGAAGCACTAAGCTACGAGGAGGTCCACATACTGCGTGGTGTCGGTCGAGGCGACTTTGAAGTCCAAGTCAGATGCATCCACCATGCCCTTCAGCCACAGGGAAAATGCTACCAGGAGTAGAATGAGGTTCGCCCAGTTGAGGAGATTCCAGCAGTTGTTCAAGTACCTATGACACGAATAACCACCCTGGGTCACAATAGCATGTCGCATTGCACCGTATCTTCAGTATTCTCATATACGATATTTCTTGATAGATAAAATAAAGGGCGAAGAGGAACAACATAATCTCGACAGCGACAAGCATCCGTTCCTGAGGGACGAGGTATAGGGAGCTCGAAAGCGAAGAGTTAGGGACTCCTGGTTGCTTCAATGCTGATGGATTTATGTGTCGCAAGTTAAGTATCGACAACTGCACTCTGTTATACCATAGTCCAGATGCCGTTACCTGACCACCTGATCAGGAGAACTCGTACTAGTCAGCGTCACCTCAAACCCTATCCGTGTAGCCGCGAAGCAACCAAGATTGGAGTTCCACACGTTCAAGTCGACGAATACAGCCCGAGTTGCTATATCAATATAGTGTGAAGACTGCAGTACGGCTAGGGCTTGTGCCGCCTCAGAACCTACCCATAGTCAGCTTTCTCGATTCTTGTGTAGATCACTACGGTTGCTAGGTATGATAGTAACGTACCCACTGCTGGAGTACCTCGCAAGATTCGCATTTACGACGTGAGAGAGTTCCGCTGGGATATGGAATCACTTAGCTATCTTTCCCGCATAATCTGCTCTCTTATATACAGGGTTGTTGCCGCCCGCGTCAGTATACATGATAGGCTGATTGTTAGCGATCGCGTCGTAGGTGGCACTGAAGAAGGTAGTTTTGCTTATGAAGCTCAGGAAAAGAGAGAGGCAGACCTTTCTTCTCGCGATTTGTCATACGGGGCGTAGCAGTAGTCGAAGTATGAACTGAAGGGTTCTGCCACGCGACATCCCTCACCACTTTTAACACGAAGGGTTCCTGTAAGGGGCGCATGCTGCAACATCATGCTCTGTACCAGGAATGTGTGTGCTACGGATGCGGACTGCACCCAACAATCTGTTATACTGCCTCTCATCAATCGGCCGCATGAAGGCTATGCTATCGATCAAGCCTTCATCGTTAATGAGTATGCCTCCATCTGTGGTAGACGTTTTCGGAGCAGTATCTAGGCGCAGGGCCTTTGCTCCTAGACATAGACCTAGCCGTACTCCCAGCAAGAGCAGTGTAGATAGTTGTTGGGACGATGCCCTCCACAAACAGATTATCCAGGAGCAAATCTGATAGATAGTCCCAGAAGGTTTCGATTGACTGAACCTGGGCTAGTTCTACCTCGAGGGAGGACGGGAGCCTTCAATATACTACCTCGTTGAGAGCCGGGACACTTCTTGGTTCCCCATTTTCGACGTCAATCGCAGACGTGGGACGCTCCAATTTAGAGGTTAGCTGTATCGTGAAAGGTTCATATCATACCAGAGCCATGTAGCATTACGTGGCGCTTAAGGTCTGTGTAGTCTAGCCTCGTATCAGAGAGTAGAAATAAGTTGTATGTGAGGAGGAAAGCAGCGAAGATTAGCACAGGGGAAGCTTTCTTAATCTGAACAGGATCCCCCGATGACCTTGATGCAAGACTGCTCATTTCCTCACGAGATCGATCATCCTCTCCTTCCCAGTTGCATAATAATGGACTATGGGTAACCTCTCTACCGGCTTACCCTCAGTGATATCCACTTTGACCATACTATTGATGTCTGCTCCGGTGATCGGGGGTATGCTATTATCCATACAATGAGTATCGAGGTCACTGAACGATTTGTGGTAGTTGAAGGCAACTGTTGTATCGAATGCTTAGTCGTTGTACACCGTTAGTACTGTGTCGTGAGTCCACAGCTGTGTCCCTCAATCTACCAGGGAGTTAAGCACTGAGTTACGAAGGCGACTAGACTTGAGAGGATCTACCATCTAGAATCATTGCCTTGAGTGAAACCCAATACATGCATGTACGTGAGTATTCACTTGAGTGATATCCGGGAGTGACGCAAGGTTGTGAGACCACTTCAACACATCGCAAGGTCCTCAGTTGGAATTCATCCAACACAGCAAATGCCGAAGAAATTTTGCAAGCCTTAGAGGGTTTGGTGGAAGACCTCTTTGCCTTTCAGTGACCCCAAATCGTAGCCTCCTATTTCACTAGTGCCCGAGGTCATTGTCTGTAAGACACTGCTTATAGAAAATATTCCTCTTCTCTATGACTCGTTATCGCTACCGCTATGTAATGCCCATAGTCATGTTCCTCGTATAGTAAATACAATGCGATACTTTTACCTCATCATCATCTCCTGGGCCTCACCTTCCAGTTCTCGGAACCTCCCAGTGATATGCAATTCCCATCGCTACTCCGAATGTCGATTGAGAACAGTTTCTCGCCACCACGTCCCTTGGGCTCTTGAACACTTCCCAGATCATTATTTCGACTGCTTGAACTCTTGAATTTTTATACCTTGTCGGAGCTCCTACAAGTTGGGCATCTATGCGGAGAGTAATATCAACCGGTTTAGTGGTGCACATGGATGGGGATAGTTGATGATTTACGGTTTCGCTGTCAGGAATGCCTTTCTGTTCGGCAACGAACAGCGAAGATGCATTAAGGACCCCCTCCCTTTGATGTTCAGAGCGTGTTGCGTTAAGTAGAATAATCTGATAATAATCAACTGATGGGTAGGGGCTACTCTCAGATTATTACTACATACCAGTTGTAGTAGTTGCCAAACGTCTACAAATATCCTCAACATGGCTGTAAACCAGATGGAGCTGTCGCAAGTGATGGCAGCCACGTTGTCATCTGATTATCATATTCGGCGACAAGCTGAAGAGAAGCTCACGCAGGTAGTATCATTGATTGGGTTTACCATGTACGGGTGTAATCCGTTCCGGTATTCCTGTAATAGTAGAGGAGTTATCTCTAACAGGCCGAGTCCGCGGGGGGTGTCCTCACATCCTCATTGCTACAGCTAGTAGCTAATGGTAATGAACAACTACCCGTGCGTTTGGCAAGCAGTATATACTTCAAGAATTTCATCAAATCTCACTGGCCGGAGTCCCCTGATGAGGTATTATTGCCAACAGTGGGTCTGTCCAGGATGATGATGATCATTCTCTCATCAGAATGGAGGGATCTCGGAAGAAAACCGCAACCTTATAAAATCACATCTCGTTGATCTGATGCTATCTGTACCAGCACCTCTCATGGCCCAGCTTCGAGAGAGTATCAAAATCATCAGCGATCTTGGTAATAAGCCACTCCTGAACACTTTGTAGGCTCGCTCATACTCTTGTCAGATTTCCCTGCTGGCTGGCCTACGCTGCTGCCCACTCTTGTACAGCGGTTGACAAGTAGTGGTGATCTCAATGATGGTGTTCAGTTCGGAGCCTTAGAGACTGCAGCTACTGTGTTCGATAAGTGAGTTTACAGGAGTCTCCACTTGAGGGTATATGCAGCAAGAACTGGATTATTTATAGCATCTGTTGGCCTCTCATTTGGATGAAGGTGTTCGTATGAATCTGTGATAGGTACCGATACTTAGTGAGATCCAACGAGGTCCTCAGGGAGTTACAGTATATCTTAAAGGAGTTTCAAGAGGTAATTCATCCAACATGTGTTGATACCGTATACGGTCTAGGTTACTATGCTCCTCATCTTGGTTATCTTTGCTCCTACAGGTTCATCTAGCTCTCTATAGGCAGACAATGCAAGAGATATTCTCGCCTGCACTTAAGGACGCAAGTAGTACATTACCTCAGAAACCCTCTTGTATACTGTGCCAGGTCAAGCAACAAAGGCCAGTAAGTTAGCCAAACTCCTCGTTGTCGAGCTTGAAATATTTTACGACCTCAATGTTGTCGACATTCCGGTAAGTAGACTCTCACTGCTGCTTCAGACTGAAGTAAATCGCTCTGTTGTTTCCAGGAGTATTACGAAGACAACTCCGCCACTTGGTTCGAGGGGTTTCTGCGCTTATTGGAATGGCAGGATGCCCCAGCTGGTAGTAGGCTGGATGTTATGACCTTTTTATCTATACATTGATTTAGCCCTCAAAGCAGTAGACGAGGACACCCCTGGAGCCATCGAGAACCTCAAAGCCCAAGTGTGCAGGAATGTTGCTCTGTATGCCGATAAGTACCAGGAGCAAGTGGAACCGTAATACTGATCAACTTCTCCACGGACGATTCGATCATTCCCCACATGGTGTGCGTAGAGACAGCTCGATCGTTTGCTCTTCACCAATCATATTGTTTATGCTCATCATCATCTATCATGAAGGTATATCTGTGGCGTAGTGAAGTCGGTGTGGACCTTGCTAGTTTCAACGAGTCCTAATGGGAGTAACGACCAGCTGGTAGTTGGGGATTACAATGTGGGTGGCTGTACCCAACTCTTGTCTCAGGTATCAGCAGGTATAAAACTGCTCTCAAGTGCGGCTAGTACCAAATGGGATAAAAGTCCCTTTGAGGAGGCGAATTCCCTTCAAGTAATACATGGGACTGCTGATCCTCATCCAGTGTGCTTGTTCAACAGGCTATCTGTGAACACGTTGTTCTCCCTAATATCAAGCTTAGAGACTCTGATGTTGAAGACTTCTTCGACAATCCTACAGTAATGGATCTCTGCTAACCTGTGGATAAGTTAGATATGTGCAGGAATATATAAGAAGGGACATGGAGAGTGCAGATCAAGATACCCGTCGTCGAGCGGCAATGGAGTTAGTGAAGGGACTTAGCAAGTTGTATGAGCAGCAGGTAATGTGGCCTGAGCTGGTGAACTCCAGTGTTGGGCACTAGCATCG